GAGGCTCCGGGAGAGCACCGTGCCTGGCACAGCAGCTGGTTCATGCAGCTGATGGAATGACTGAGTCAATGGATGATGGAACCAACTGGGAAGGAGAACAGGATCACACGGAATGGAGACTTGATACTTCTGAGGTTGTGGTCAGTCCTGGAGAGGGAGGCAAGTGTCTGTCTTTCTGCGTGACTGTGTATGTATGTACTTATGTGTGTGTGTGGTGGGGGTGTCTGTCTATGTGTATGTGTGTATAAGTATGTACGTGAGTGTAGGTGCCCATAGAGACCATGAGAAAGGAATTGATTGATGTAAGGCTGGGAATTGAACTCCGGTCCTCTGAAGCAGTGGCTCTCTTAACCCTGAGCCATCTCTCCAGTGTTGGTAGAATTACAGCTGGCTCTCTCCCTTTCTTTCTGGTACTCCTTTTCTGTGAGAATGTGTATGAAGTATAAGCTGCTGGTGCTGTATCAGAAGTCACCTCTGGGTACTATCCTTAGATTCTCGTGTGCACCTGCGTGTGCACACAGGCGTGTACAACCATGAATACACACAGGCGTGTACAACCGTGAATACACACAGGCGTGTACAACCGTGAATACACACAGGCGTGTACAACCGTGAATACACACAGGCGTGTACAACCGTGAATACACAGGCGTGACACTGTCTGGGGTACTAGTCCATTACTCTCTTCTGCTTCCTTGAAGCATGGCTTTTCACGGAACAGGAAGCTTGCTGTTTGGACAGGCTGACTGGCCGAGGTGAGCTCTTGGATCCACCACTGTCCCTCAACACTGGGGCTAAGGATTGAGTAGTCATGCCTGGCTTTTACATGTGCTAGAAATTTGAACTCAGGTTCTCACGCTTGCAAATATTCTGAGCTACTGAGCCACCTCCCAGCTCCTCGCCTCTTATTCTAATCCTGTTTTTAAAGGCCATCGGTGGAACATGAACATTTTCTAAAAACATTAAAGTTAAACAAAAATATTTAAAAGACATAATTTTACAGCATTATTAAGTTATATAAATAAGAAAATCTCACGTCAAAATTGTTCTCTTGGAAAGACGTAGGATGGGGCTTGTGTATGTGTCTGCTTCCAGCTCAACCGCTTGCATTAGGTAGGTTGTTGCCCAGGTTTTGTCCTTTTTTCTCTTTTTCTTCCTCTCACCTGTTCTTCAAAGTGTTGGAAGTCTCCCGAGGTCCATGGCGGCCCCAAGCAAGCAAGTCAGAGGTGAGGGTGCCGGACATTGGGTGGGTAGGAGCAGAGCCTGCAGCCGTGCTGTCCGAGCCTTGGCTGCTGCTCTGAAGGCAGCTGTGCTCACTGTCTCTCTGGACTGACTTCCTTGTTCAGCTTACAGGTCAAAGTGTGGCCCTGAATGTTGTAAACTCTCAGGACTAGCCACCTGTTCATGACAAGAGAGAGGAATCTACAATTGTCAAGTCTCTGCTTACATTCAGCTCTAGCGCCTGAGTGCTGCTTCAGCATGGCGTCTTCCTGCCCCCGGGGCCTGTGACCAAAGTAATAATGATATTGACTTTATAACTTTAAAAATAGCCCTTGTTTTGTTTAGGAAAAATACTGAGCTACTGCCAATTATATGACACAACATCTAGGATTTCCTTCAGAATGAATGTGAATTGAATGTCCCAGCTGAGTCTGTAACCCAGCACTTAGGAGACTGAGGCAGGTGGATTGTCATGAGTTTGAGGCTATCCTGTGTTTGTCTTGTGATTATTAGCTACATTTTTCTTCTATTTGCATCTCTGTTTATTGCATGCCAAATATTGTCTTTTCATTTTTTAAAAAAAGATTTATTCTTCTTTAATTGTGCGTGAGTGTGTCTGTGTCTGGGTGTGTGCACATGGTGGACATAAGTGGTGTCATGTTCCCTGGAGCTCTATTCCAGGCACCCATGAGCTCCTTGATGTGGGTGCTGAGACCCAAACTCATGTTGTCCAGAAGAGCTGTATCTGCTCTTAACCACTGAGCTGTCTCTCCAACCCTCATCCTTTTGAGACAAGAGTTGTCTGTGAGCCCAGGCCTGCCGTGGTCTTGGCCTTCACTTACAATCCATAGTCTTTGGAGCAGGTGAGATTACAGGCTTGTACTGCACAACTGCCACACCCTCTCAAGTTGGGTTTCCCATAAGCCCATAGCAACTCCAATTGATGGTGTCTGTCAGAAGGGATTTCCTTTCTCCCCTGATGTGGCAGCATCTTGGGCTTTTCATCATGATCGAGATGGTCTCGGCTGGGCTGCAGTTCTTCTGATTTAGTTTACCTCTGTTTGTCTCTTGTCCTCCTCATCATAGCATTTCAGGTTTGGATGACTTGCCAAGGACCAGCCTCAGCTTGGAGAGGAGTTTTGAGAGAAGGGGTGTCTGGGAGCAGCAAAAACAAACAACTCGAAGTTAAATCATGGGTCTGAGATGGCAGCCTGGGTTCTACTCTAGACAGCTTTCCAGTCTGCTTTCATTCTGTTCTGCTTTCTCTGGAAATCTCCAGACAGCTCTCTGTTGAGACAGTTCTCCAAGCAGTTCTTTCTTGCTATTCTAAAGAAATTCTCTGGATAGCTCATCTTTTGCAGATCATAAGCCCAGTCTTTTATTTTACATATCCATCCAGTCATTTACTCCAGGTTCCCTTTTGATTATCCTATGAGGCAAGCACATTTTTTTTTAAACATTGCAAAAGAATTCAGAGATCTGCCTGTCTCTGTTAAGCATAGATGATAAGCTAGTGAGGTGGGACTCCACCCTGAAATTATCATTTCTACCATACCTGGGCCTAAACTTGCTCTGTCCCCACTGACCCTGAACTCAGGAATTTCTGCATTTGTATCTTCCTGTCTTTGTATTCTTCTGACAAGCTGGCTCGTTGTACAGCTCGCTCTGTTCCTTTAGATCTATGAAGCTCCTTAGACAATTCATATTTGAACTCATGTTTTTAGAGTTCCTTTACACAGCCTTAAGGGCTGTCTCCGTGTTTACCATTTTTGCTGAGATATTAGCTACACCTTTGCTTCACAGACTCATGCTGTCTCTGATTATCATGGAGTCATTAATGTTAACAGGGAAGACATTCCTCAAATGAGGAATGTGAAAAATACGTGCACTATTATACAACACACCTTACCCCGCAGCAGCCATGACACTCGTGAAAGCCCACGCCAGTTAACCCTCTCCCAGGGGCAGGAGCCATGTCATTCTACCCCAACCAAGACCATGCCAGACTCAGCAGCTTCCCGTGTGGGAAGGGCGGCTACGTGCTCCTTCAGAAGTATGGGGTTTAGTGGATAACGTGGAGCCCTTACAGCTTCACGATCCAGCAAGCCTGGGGAGGGTGCATCCGTCTCCTCAGTTCTGTGAGAGTATAGGACATTTCACTGTGCTTGTTCGAAGCCTGGTCCCGTTAGTAGCCCAGAACTCAAGACAGCTCTCTATGTAGCTTTCCAGATTCTGGTCTGGCTTGCAAGCCCTGACTCATAGCTCAGTGTCAGGGTCCCTTTGAATAAAGCAGATTCCATTCTTTTTTTTTTTTTTAAGATTTATTTATTATATGTGAATACACTGTAGCTGTCTTCAGACACACCAGAAGAGGGCATCAGATCTCATTACAGATGGTTGTGAGCCACCATGTGGTTGCTGGGATTTGAACTCAGGACCTCTGGAAGTGCAGTCAGTGCTCTTAACCACTGAGCCATCTCTCCAGCCCGCAGATTCCATTCTTGATAATGTACAGAATCAGAAAACGTTCTAAGGAAGATTCCGTGTTCTCACAGCCAGGAGTTCACTTTCTTGTCGTTATGGATTCTGTAACCTTTGTACCTACTGGGGTGTGGCTGTGCACCTTCTATTGCACTGGCTGTGACCCTGCTACATCTTGTTTTAGCAGTTGTAGCGAGGTGGGACAGCACACTCTAATGTCCCAGCATTTGGGCACCAGAGACAGGTTTGCAAGTTCAAGGTCAGAGAGAAAGACTAAGGAAGGAAGGGACAATGAGATTTGCTTCTGTTTTAAAAAGGCAGGGAGGAGCTTCTGTAAGGATTCTGTATTTGTGCCTAAATAAAGAACATTCTGAAGTGATATACTTCATAAAAAAATGATACTGCCTTTGTATCCTCTTGTATCCAGAGTCTGCAGGGAGGAGCTTCTGTTGTTTTTAGACAAGGCCTCACTGTGTAGCCATGGCTGGCCTGTGTCACCTCCTGAGTGTGAGGATTAAAGCTGTGTACAACTACCTCTGAACTACAGTAGCTTCTTGGTGCCATTTATAAGCAGCTTTCCATTGGCAATAAAACACCAGCACTAATAAAAACTCACTTCTGTTACAAGAACAGAAGATAAGAATAACAACAAAACAGTCATGACATACAACAACTGCATGTGTGTCCAGACACACCACCCCTTTTGTGATTTCCAGTTTGCAACTGTGTGTGCCTCCAGGTTCATCTCCCAGGGCGTAGGTGTTCAGATGTGCCCCCACTTCCTGGTTTATCTGTCATACTGCTTTATCTTCCCTGTCATTTGACAAGCATGTTAGATAATACTTGTATTGATTCAGTGACATCAAACACCTGCTATCCCAACCCCTGGAAGGCAGAAGCAGGAAGGTCAGAAGTTCAAGGACATCTGCAGCTTTGTAGGGAGGCCAGATGGCGGTATAGCACCTTGTCTAGTGTTAAGATCACATTGCGTTACAGTTTGGGTCCTGCAGGCCTGTCCCCTCTGTCTGTGCTCACAAGGCACAAAGCAGGGCAGATGCTTACGTGAGGAACACCTCTGGTAGCTTTCGGAATAGCTGTCTGCAAGAGAGTTTTTTTTGTCTGTTGAGTAAGGTTTGTGAGGCAGAGCAACCCCTTCTCAAGGCTGGCCTGGGCACCATGTAGGCTTTAAGTGTACACTGTAGATGGAGACCTTGAACACACTGTAACCTTTTCTCTCAAAATCAACCAGCAGAGGGATAACATTTTCCAGAGTTCTGAACTTTTTTTTTTTCTTTCAGAAAACTGAAGAATGGGAAAAAAATAAGACTGAGGAAGACATGGACGAGTTTGTGTGGGCCAAGAGCTCCTCGGAGAGCAGTGTCCTCCAGACCCTGCTGCAGATGAGAGCCGCTGAGGGGAGCGTGGTGCCCAGCAGAGAAGAGCTGCTGGGGACTGAAGAGGTGGAGGATTACCAGAAGTGTGTTGTCCGTCTCAAGAATGAGGGGGAGAACGAGGAGAGCCTCGCTCAGTACAAAGAGTCTGTGAAGAGACTGTTAAATTTGGCATGAAGTCCAAACTAGAAGGCAGCTGTTTCAGTTGTATGATGTATTTAGTCACTGATTTGATATAAATGGGAGAATACTTGAGAATATTGTCTTATGTCAGGAAACACTTCACCTTTCAGACTCCTGTGCCCTGTGGTGGTGGTGGGGCTAGGGATTGTGGTTTCTCTGCTTGTGGCATGTTTTGACTTTATTTCTACACATCACCTTAATCTTCCCCCAGTTACAGAGCGTAATTGTTTTGTTAGCTGCTTTGTCTCCACTGTTCAGGTTTAGTGATTGCTTTTGATCAATAACTTTGGTTACTAAGGATACCTAGCCCGGCGTCTGACCAAGCCCTTGGTGCCCCTCAGTGGCCCGCCCCAAGGAGGCTGCACTCTTCTGTGGACAGCAGCCAGGTTAGCTCTTGCTCCTCACCTACCCCAGTGTCACACATACAGTGCTCTGTCTCACAGACCACTTAGCAGCAGACAGAAAACTCTTCAGGCAAAACCTGCATCCAGACGTGTTGTCCACTTCCTGATTTAGGCTTGTGTAAGTAGAGGATTGGAGGTTTCCCTGGGGAAACAAGGTGATTGGCTGCAGGACCTGCTCACAGTTGCCTGTCTTGCAGTCTGAAGTTCTCTGCCTTCCTGTGGCCATTTGATGTTGCTTCAGCTCTGATTGGCTAAACTCTGGCTCTAGAGCTCTCTCTCTGTCTCAAGCCCTGCTGGCAGGAAGGACAACAGCCCCATAGCCTTCTCTCTGCCCCTCCTGCCCTGTACTCAGCAGCTCAGGAGAAGACACAGGCCAGGATGAGAAGCAGCAACAGATGGGCTGCAGGTCAGGTTGGGGCGAGTTGCTTTGTAGTCTGTGAGCTTGGACCCAGGGCCTTATGTATGCTCAGCCCACACTGCCACTGAGCAGCGCCCCCAGCCCCATCCAGTATTTTTAAGTGTATCTGGAAGTCATTGAACATTTGTGGAAAATGAAACTAGGCTTTGGAATTAGTAATGTCCAAGGCAGACAGACTATAAAGAACAAAAATGGAGCCTTGAGCTTTATAGGCATATGTGGGGGTTGGGGGAAGGAATCATTCTCAGAGAAGTGTGGCACTGGGTAGGGTCATTGCATAGAGGTGAATGAAAAGCCAGACATATAAATGACCTTTTTTTGTTACATCAAAAGCATGTTTAAAAAAGTCTTAGGGGCTGACTGACATACATGTTTCTAGTACACAGAAGTTGAGGGGAGGTGGATGAGTTTTATTTTTAATTACATGTCTATGTATGTAACTGTGTGTGGTATATGTATGTATGTGCAGGTACCCAGAGAGGATAGAGACGTCAGATCCCCTGGACATGGGTTCTGGCACTGAATTCAAGTTCTCTGCACTATGTGTTCTTAACCACTGAGCCATCTCTTTAGCCCCCTGATTTTCATCTGTGGCATATTATCACTTTAAAGACTCCTGTGGAGTGGCGGAAAGCAGGTAGAGAGCAGGCTAAAGGGAGCATGGGACATAGGACCGGGATGGACATTAGGGGACAGGTGAGATGTAGTTCCATAGGGCTGTCTGTGAGTGCAATGCTGATGAGAATAAAGGTATCCTGGCCATGTTAAAAAACTTGACTGTGCCTTTGCCCTCAGCTTTCATTATTATAGGAGAATCTTTACCTAAGGCTAACTTCAAAGGATCTGAAGACTTGGGCTTTTCTGAAGAACCAGCACTATGATCCAGGGTGGGGCCTGGGTCATACAACTGATGGCTATAATTAGGTAACCAACAGCCATACTTCTGTGGATACTTTGAATAACCAGGAGTGGTAGCCTGCACCTAAAATGCTAGCATGTACAAAGTCAAGGCCAGCATGGGCTACAGGAGATCCTGTCTCAACCAAAAAACAAAACAAAAAAAAAATCTCTTGGATGTTGATGGGACTGTTCTATGCAGCTCTTACACAGTGGCCTTGGGAGAGTGCTCTGGCCTGACTCCAGAGAGAGAGGACCTTTGAGGCCAGCACTCAGAACTGTCCTGGTCTTTCCTGGGCCATGTTAACCAGTCTCCTTTCCCTGAAGGATAACTGAGTGAGCCTTGGTTCTAATGAGTTTCCCTGGGAGTGGTTTTGCAAACACCAAAACCTATGTTTGGTGGGAAGTGAGGCTCTGTGTCTTTTAACTGGCCAATTCAGGTTGATCAGAGGACTCAGGCCACTGTCGTTAGTGGAGAATGGCAAGAGCTTACTGTGTCTCTAGCCTCCTGTGTCTGCTTCTTGACTGTCTACGGTCTGCATTGCCTCTCAAGTTATCTGAAGGCAAAATACCCAGCTGACGGACAGTTGGATGCATTTGTTTCCTTATAAAGGTAAACAGGGTTTTCTCAAATTATAGTCATTTCTGTGAGATTTTTCAAGGAATGAGTCAGTTTCCCAAAAGGAACATCTTTTTGAACCTCTACTTTGTTGGAAAATCCCTAAGCAATTCACACAAATTAAAACTAAATTTGGAGCTGGGCATGCTCACACATGCCTGAGACTCAACACTTGGTAGACCCAGGTCGTCCTTTGCTGCATAGCTAGATCCTCTCAAAACAGAAAAAAAATGTAAATAACTTTTGAAAGACTATTCATGAATACAGATTATCTGTGGATACAGTTTCATGAATTACTTGTTTAAATACAATTTTAGGGGGCAAGAATCCCAGCAGTGCTACTATACATACATATATACATAAAGTTGGTGATCATTTAAAGCTGGATATTCTTCCTACGATTGATGTAGAACTTTATAATGTATTAGGAAAGAAATTGATAAAGTTCATGGAGCCTAATATCTTGAATCATGTGCAAGTCAAGGTATGTTTTTAGTTAGATTTTTATTTTGTTTGACACTCCACTGATCAAAATGTTTTCTTCCTTGTGCATGTGTGCATGTACAGCCCGCATATGTGTATGTGTGTGAGCATGCTTGCATGCGTACATGTGTGTGTGTGTGTGTTTGGGTGCATATGTGAATGTGTGTGTATGTGTGTGTGTTTGTATGTGGGACCTTCTTGGAGGTCAGGCAACAGCTTTTTGGGAGTTTGTTCTTATACTGCGAGTCTCAGGAGTTGAAAGCCTGCGGTCAGGCAAGCACTTTTACACACTGAGCCATCTCTCTAGCCCTACCTTTTTTATACATTAAAAGAAATTGCTACTTTTCACCCAGTGTCAATATTGGGGAAGGAGAAACATCTTTTAAGGCCCTGGACAATTTGTTTTAACATCTGAGGAAACTGTTCTTTTAATCATTTTTTTCTTTAATTTTATTTTTTTAAGAATAATTTTTTAGTTGTATGGTAGATATCCTACTATATGTATTACAGCGTATGTGTGTATGTGTGCACATGCATGCATACAGCACAGTATTCTTTTGGAGGTCAGAGGACAACTTCAGGAGTCTGTTCTCCTTTCACCCTGTGGGTTCCAGGGACTGAAGCATTAATCAAGGGAGCATGAAAACAGGAAGTACTTGCAGCGGTCTTGTTCATTTGCCTAGACCTCTAACCAGTTATCCTCCAAAAGCAGTTACCTGTAAGCCCCCTCTCTTCCCTTTCTCCTCCTCCATTCCTTTTCTTTTGGACAAGGCCACATGTAGCTGGGGCTGGCCTGGAACTCACTCTGTAACTGAGACTGACCTTGAACATCTGATCCTCCTGCCTCCTCCTTCAGAGTGCTGGGATCAAAGGTGCTATCACTTGTAACTCAGGACCCGCTCCCACTCCTCTCAGTTCAGGAAATGGAAATCATCAGGAAAGTAGACAGTTTTACCAAGCCTTTCCCTTTGGGTAGAAATTGGTATCCTAGGATATCTTTTTTTTTTTTAATTTTACTTCTTTTATAAAATGTTCTTTCTCACAGAAAGCCATAGGAACCCCAGCCTTTAGGAACGTTCCTTCAGTGTGTTACGCTTGCACTCAGATCCTGACCCTTGTCCCACGTGAGACCAGCCCTGCTGCCTCCCACAGCATCTGGACGCCCCGAGGACCACACGGCAGCAGAGGCTGACGATGGCAGCACCCAGGGTCACACAAGCCAGCCAGGCCCCTGCAGATGCTGGCGCTCCATCCCGTGGCTCTTCGTTCTCAGATGTGTGGTTTCCACTGTGGGACCCCTTTGTTTTATTCACTGATGGTTTGCTAATGTTGAGTCGGGATTGGCTGGGCACCTGGGAAACTCTTGTGTCTGTGGGTCCAAAGAAAGGAGAAATAGTCTTCTTGTCTGCACTGTGGATGAAGTCTGTGATTGGTGACATGGTGTTGACCTTGGTAGCAGTGGACACATTCGCAGAAGTGAATCTTATCCCCTTATCCGTGGTTGACTTCCTGGAATAACGGATGCCTGTGTTTGCACCTAAATCCTGATGTGTGGTTGACGCTGCCTCTGTGGATGCCACCGTGCGGCTCATCACATCTGGGTCTACTCCTTCACTGTCTACATTCATAGCTTTTAGAATCCGCAGTCTATCCCACCATTCGGACGAGGAGCGGGTGTTCGGGTAGGTGGGAGATGAATGCTCAAAAACCAGCAAGTCTGGGTCTATGCCTGAAAGATAAATGAGGTCTTCTATCTTTAAAGAGTAACAGTTTATTTGAGAATTTCAAATGTATACAATGTATTACATTGAGTTTCTTTGTGATGGCCTTAGGCACAGCCTGGAGGCTGCCGGGTTTGTCTCTGGAGTCTGAGCTGAGCCAGATTCCAGTTCCAGCTGCACAGGCTCCTGAGCTTCAGAGCAGCCTGAGTGTGTGTTTATCCCAATGACACTCTCTGCTGTGGACAAATATGGCTGTACAGAGAAGAGGGCTTTGTGTATGAAGAAAGCTTTGTGCCAGAGTTCCCATGCTGCCGGCAGCCGTGGGGAATACCACACACCACTTAATAAGCTGGAGAAACAGCCAGGGAAAGGGAACAAAGCCAGCAACCACACCCTGTTTTTGCTTTGTCTTCTCCTTGTACACTCAAAGGCTGCATAGTTCTCAGTACTCCCCACCAGGAGTGCTGTCTGCCTGTGTCCCCAGTACTCCTTGCCAGGAGTGCTGTCTGCCTGTGTCCCCAGTACTCCCCGCCAGGAGTGCTGTCTGCCTGTGTCCCCAGGACTCCCCACCAGGAGTGCTGTCTGCCTGTGTCCCCAGTACTCCCCACCAGGAGTGCTGTCTGCCTGTGTCCCCAGGACTCCCCACCAGGAGTGCTGTCTGCCTGTGTCCCCAGGACTCCCCATTAGGGATGTCTGCCTGTGTCCCCAGTACTATCCACCAGGAGTGCTGTCTGCCTGTGTCCCCAGTGTTCCCCACCAGATCCCTTCCCTTCCCCACTTTGGCCTCTGTGACAATGCTTCATCCCTCATCATTTTGCAAAGCTTAAGCTTCTGAGGTAATGACTTCTGAATTCCTGGTCACATGTGCCACATCTGGTACTGTGGGACCTTCTTCTTGAGTCTCCCTGGCAGTCAACTCTGACTGCTTGCCTCTTCTTTATCCTTGGCTTTTTTTGCCGCGGCCATCTGTCCATCTGTTCTAGTTTCTGTTGTCAATTTGACATAAAGTAGAGATACTTGAGAAGAGGGACCCTCCACTGAGGAATTAGCTTCCACCAAGTTAGCATGTGGGCGTGTCTGTGGTACTGTTTGATTGATGGTTAATGGGGGAGGGATTAGCACACTGGGCTTGAGTTATAGAAAGCTGGCTGAGCTCAAGCCTGGGAACAAGCCAAGTGCTCCTGCCTCAAGTTCCTGCCCTGGTTTCCCTCCGTGATGGGTTGTGAACTGGGAGTCCTAAGTGTGTAAGATGAAATAGCCCCACGCATGCACACACCCGTTAGTTACCTTCCTATTGCTATGATAAAAACACCATTGCCAAAAGTGACTTACAGAAGGAGTTTATTTTGGCTTGTGGTTCCAGAAGTAAGAGTACAGAGTACATACATCAAGGCTGGCATGGTGGTCAGAGCAGAAAACTGAGAGCTCACATCTTCAGATGTAAGCAGGAAGCTTACAGGAAGTAAGGCAAGGCTTTAAAATCTCAACACCTCCCAGTGATGTGCTTTCTCTAGCAAGGCTGTACCTTGTAAGCTTTCCCAAAGAGCCAGCTGGGGATTAAGCCACCAAATACCCAAACCTATGGGGGACATTTATCACTCTGCTCCACAAGCTGCTTTTGGTGTGATGCTAATCACTGCAACAGAAAGCAAACTAGAACACCATCTTTGGTCTTCAGTTATATTCTCTCTTCACCGCCCTTCTCAAATTCCACAGCTGCCCCTTACCATATTAATAGCACTGAAGTGCCTGTGACCTGTGCCTTCCTCTTCTTGGGCACTGAACTGTTCCAGTGCTCTCTCACACGCTTCTGCCTGCACACCCCAGGCATCATCTCTGAAGGTGGCCAAACGCCAACCTTGGCCTCTTGCCTCCTCCTGCCCCCACCACCCATTCTGGGCTAGGAGAAGCAGGGAGTGACTCTTCCCTCATTTCCTTCCTTTAAAAGGTAACTAAGGGACGAAGATGTGGGTCAGCGCAGATCCCCGGGACTGATCCCCAATACCAGAGACTCCTAATGAATCTTTCCAAGGTTCAGCAGCAAATTCCTTCATGAC